AGAATACAAGAAGTCAGCCTGTGAAGAATCAACGTGTGATTTGAAGACTTTGTATGCGTTGTAGCACAGTGATATTGGGAGTGATTTAGTGAGACGTATATATTTCCTGTGTTATAAATTCATGAGCATTAGTGGAGATAAACTGAGATGATTAGTGTGGAGTGATATTAAAATGTGTAAATCAGTAACAGTATTATAATTATTTGTAATTACGGCCTGTAAGTATCCAATAAATCCAATTACAATTCAAACCTGTGTCTTAGTTATCCATACACGTGAGAGTATGGACCATTGGGAAATAGTTATTGAAAATCAGAATTCAATCGAAATGATTCCGGTTGATGTCAAGCGATCCAGTTTGGTATTCGCTGTGTTAAAATTATTGTCCCGTATATATTTATATATATTTTTTTTTCGACGCTGTCAATATCTAGGCTATATAGCGTCGAATTGCAAGATGACTGGTGAATTGGAAAGGAAGGGAGCGGTGGTGGTCTAAACGAGTTCTATTCCAACATTTATGTGAAGGATTGAGTTAACTGAGAAACGATATTGTGTCCCTGCCGAAATGAGAGCCGAGCACCTCCAGGATGCACGTCTTGTGCTCTACCGCTAGATAATCTTTCTCAGTACCGCACAATTTGATATTTCCTTTCTTACGTATCTACTTGTGGACTATGTACATTAGCTGTTCCTGTACTGTTATGATACCCTGAAAGATTATTTTGAATGTGAAAATATTCTTAAGAAATTTCTGTTTAATAAACATATGTCTTCATGTTCGTTGTACAGAAATCTTGCTTCAAGTATTCACACCCCTTTCTTTGTAGCCTACAAGTGTTCATATTGTACACTGGCTCCACTTGTGCTATAGCGGATTCATCTCGCACTTCGGTTGCTATGCATGTAACTGGACCACTTGTACATGCATATTTCAGACCCACCTGTAAGATTCGTTCCTTCTGTACGTCTCTAAATTTCTGTTTAAAGCAGATCTCGTTTTCATATTTTCAGATCTGAAAATGTAATATTTTTCTAAGAGATTGTATCTGTCATTCATGGATTCTCTGTATCCCGTCATATATATATATATATATATATATATATATATATATATATATATATATATATATATATACACACACACACACACACAAACATGAGTATTGTCACGTTCACTGTATCTTACAAAATAAAGTTTATGGAATGGTAGATTAGATAAGAAATTTGCATAAAAATGTGTCACTTTCGAAATCTACAGTTAAAAGCAGGCTTTATAACATAAATTAAGAGCTCGTGGCTTATGCTTGAAGATTATCGGAGAAAATGATTATGTGGTTCTAATTCTAGTCACGGATGTATAATTCCTCTGGTACAGTACCCATTCATCCAGACTTGACTTAAAAGCACTGAATAAAACGTATGAAACACAGATATTCCCTGTGAGATACTGAAGTATGTTTCTCGAAGATCTAAAGTAAACTTTGTACACCTGTACATTTAATTCAAACAAGATTTTCTCGACTTGTTCTTAGCACAGATTTAGAATAGTGGACACGAACTGCCTTTTGCATTTGGCCTCTCTTATTATCATTAAGGTGAATATCATTCACTCATCATCATCATCATCATCACTTACTCATGGAGATCAGCCCTTCTTGAGAAGCCGCCTATTGTGCAGCTATGAAGGTGAACATAAGATCTAAAAGTTATATAGCTAATAGGATTTGAGCTTATAATCAATCAAGTGACTTGAACAAGTTACGCCTAAATTTCTTATTTCTGTATTGAGGAATCGGGGATCCATTCCTGGTAAGGTCAAAAGAGTTTTATTTTCTCCAGGGCGTCTGTACCGGCTCTGGAGGGCACCCACCTTCCTATTCAGTGCACACCATGGGCACTTTCCCCAGTGGTAAAGCTGCCGGGGCGAGAACCTGAACACTCAGTTTCATCTAGTGCCGAGGTTAAAGACGAGTGGCTCCAAGTCCTTCACGTATCCATGCATTTTCATGGCCCGGCGCTTAATTAAATAATCGGTGGGAAAACTTTAACTTAACCTTGACCACTGTCGTCCAGGGACGCATGCCGGATATTTTGATTATGTTTACCGAGCATAATATTTCGTAAATATCTCTGTGGAATCTTATGCTATGGGATGACACATTTCAGGTTTTCATTGTGACAACTCTGACACTTGACACAANTTATATATTATTATATATTATAATATGTCGAGAAATATATTATATTTAATGTTCGAATATCAACGGCCGTGGGGTTTGTTGTGTTGACCACGCGACACTCTCTATCCGCAAAAGTTGGTACTAAACTTCGTCGACAAGAGGCGGTAGAGCTCGCTTGCGGACTAAAATCACGCAGTTTTTTTATCATATGTTTTACGGTAATACCTATTTTTGACGTATTTACTGACTCTCTTGTATTTGTAATACAGAACGAAGTTCGGAAATATTTTGCTACATCTCTTCTTGGAAAACACGGCATCAATTCTGCCCTCAAGAAGTTGGCAGCAAGTTCCTACGAAATATATGCGGTACTTTACTTTATCGGCTCGACCCTGTGCCTGTAAGAAGTCGAGATGTAGAGAGACAGAAACTTAGAATCTGCATTTCTGGTACTTCCCACAGATACTGTCTGCATAGAGGGTAATACTTCAGCCTAAATTTGGACAATTATTTGAATGAAAGGAAACATAGCATGAAACTGCATTAATTATTTTTATTTCAGATGTAGAAGTACATTTTAATTCAGCTACATTTATAACCAAACTTCAGTAATGTAAGTTTTGAGGTTTTCACGGCGATGACTATGAAGAAAGTCGTCTTCTAGGTTTTGGCGTCAAAACCCAGAAGACGACTTTCTTCAAACTTCGGTAATCTTTTACAAAACGATCGAAAGTGTGTCATTATCAAAATATTTTAAGCTTCATAATTTTTTATGAATTTGAACTTGAGTTTATTATTATGGAGTTCAGATCTTATCATAATCAGTCATAATTAATGTTCGTACAACAGGTTACAACAATTCGTTGTCTGTTTCTTTAAATATGTCGAGACCGATAGTGAAACCATCCGACGTATTTCGTCCTGTTTAAAATATTATGACATTTGTTGTGTTACTTTGTAACTGCGAAACTTAAATTTTCACTTTTTTCTTCATATGCCGTAAAATATTTAGGATATCTGAAATAATCAGTGACATGACATTCTGGGCTATTAATTTTCCGCTTTTAAACCACTATCGTACTGTGCTTTGTAATACTAATACAAAGGTAGATGTTGTTGATCGGATTACAATACTGGGAAGGTGTGCGTTACTGCAACAATTATCGTTCTTCGGATTACATTCTTACATTGACGTAATGCTCTGTGATTATTATATTTAAACAGACCTCTCTAGCATGGCAATGTGGTACTCAGAAATATCCAATGTCTTGTCCTCAGCTGTAGGAACTGGGTTATGAAGCTTCTCTGTAACACGATAATCCCATTTAAACATGCTTTATGAGCGCAGTGCAATGTAAATTCATCTTCAATGCTTTCGTTTGAATAGTTTCACTGCTATGTCATTTATTTTGTATTGCCTTCTTTCCTTACGGTAACAAGTCCAGACTTCAGCAATTATTGAGTCCCACAACACTAGTTGCAAGACTTACCCTGTAACTTAGAGAACTCCGTAGTCTAGGGTTAAGGTAAATACCCTGTAACTTGGCTCTATATACGAGTACAGACATTGTTATTATTATTATTATTATTATTGGAGGGGGTGGGTTTCCCAATGCACCGCAATTTCAATCTTCATCACGGAAGACGGAATTACATGCATATGTCCGCACCATGGAGAATTGGAATTCTTTCCAATTCCCAGCGTGGGGTGTACAAACCGTTCCACAAACGAGTCTTTCAACATATTCTGAAGTGTACGGACGTGATCCTTGCGCGCTCCGAGTTATAGCTTGTAGATCGAGTATTATAATTTAAAGCATAAGCATACAGTAAATTAACAGTGTGGTTTGGAGAACAATAAGTGAATAAACATCAAGTTGGATTAATTCCCAGAATACCGCTTAATTCGGCATCGCTACCCTGAGTCTCGTGCTAACCTACCCAGCCAGTTTCCCATACCTATACCGACCTTCCTTAGTTTGATCTGTGAGGTAAACTTGCAGTGATTATCATACACTGTCCTAAGGTAGAAATAGATGTAGCAGGGATAGCACCATTCCGACTGAGCTGATATAAACAAAGGGTGGGTTGAAAAATGGCGGTGTTAAGCTGAAAGTTTCAAGATCACAGCTTCTGAGACAGAAGAAGCTACATGTTATTTGAAGGAATTAAGTTATAGCATTCTTCATCGCCATTTTTCTGTGAATTCATATAATTGCCTAGTATCAGAATATGATGACAATTTCAGTTACCTTAAAGCATAAATTCAATGGAAATTTGAATTGAAATTAGTCTCATTATATAATTGAGCACGCAATAGAGCTACGTCTAATAACAGGCTTGTAACTAGTGAAAAAGAGGTTTGTAGTAAGTGTCTCCTAGCCAATGGGTATTGGAGACCTTTCTCTGAAGGTAAAGCGGCCGGGATGTGATGCTTATCACTCATTTCCAACTAGTGCCGAGGTCAAGAATACGTGGATCTATACATCCACTCCCCCATACGTGTACATGGGGTAGTGCTTAATTAGTTAAGCACAGAGACAACTTTTACCGATACATGTGGATGTATTTAAGATTGCTTTCTGTAACGACTTTCCATATATCTGAGCAAATCTCTTTACTAATAACAATAGAAAAAAGTTCTAATCTTCTTGCTGTTCGTCATTGCTGACAATATAAATACGCGCATAGAACTTAAGGATTTCAATCTTTTGCACTTTTCTTTTAATTTCCCATAAATATCATTCACATCAGAAGCAATTTACACAAGAATTACTTTCATAATCGTTCGTACTGACATGGCTGTCTTTGTTGCAGGATCAGCGACGAGGTGGAGAGGTGCATGGTGGCTTCTGTCTGCTCTGGCGCTTCTGTCGTTCCTCACCAGGTAGCAGGACTTTCGAATTGGCTCTGCGCCCCTCTGTTGCTGAATGCTCTGTCTGAAATCGTTCAAGGTTAGCTCATTCAGAAGATACACACTACTGCATAAAGTTGATCGGTTTGTCGTCAAAATAACTTCAAGTTTGATAATGAGAAGTACTTCCAATTTGTTCGTTAGTACGGCGACTAAGTGAAAAGAGGTGAGATTTAAAAGCTTTCACTCATGGGCACCGTAAGCTACCTGAAATAGATATTGTTTTTTTAGATAACCTGTTTGTTGAAAAGTTCCAGACGCTGAAATGTAGTCCATTATAACTATATGTATAAGACCAGGCATTCGTACTATTATTTATTTATTTATTTAATGTATATTTAATTACTCTGCTAGCAGCTTAGACTATATAGCTTCGAATGGAAGGCTTTTTAGAAAATGGTGAAGTGCAAAAGCGGTCGTGTACTATTTCTGGATACTGCCTCGGCATTTGCCTCGAGTGACCTAGGGTAAAGACGTAAGACCTCACTGAGGAGAATGCGTGTCCCAGCCCAGACACTCGGGAGTAGAAGTCAGAAACGTTTCCACTAGAGCCAATTTGTTTGGTGTAAATTTGTTCAAATGTTCGGTGTCTGTTCCTTGTATTTCATTACTGGATGAATAATTTGCTCAATAATTAAAACAGTCCTTAATATAGATCAACTCTTAAGTTGAAAATTGGTACTGTCTTGGGAAGGTTACCTTAAATTTCACTAAGAGTGAATTGCAAATTTAGCTTTGTTAATTTTCTTTTTACTTTCAATAAGCAACCATTTAATATAATTGTCATACCGTTAATAGAAAGATTCATATAATTAGAATAAATATGTGATCTATTTTACTACCTTATTTAAATATCAGTTCTCAAATTAGGAAGTATACTAGAATGAACATTGTTCCAACCTACCAGTCTGGCACATTACTTTCGTCTGAGCTTTTAGTGTTTAGAAATGAGAGACCGTCTGTTTAAGTACGCAAAATGATCGACAAGGATCAAAAAGCTCTTTAGTACTGCAGTTTATGGTGCCCAGTAATACTTGTGACTTGCTTCTTAAATCCCATAATTTTCACAAGTGTGATGTGTGACACAAGAAGAAGAAGAAAAAGAAGATATGTGGGTTAGTGAAGCGAACAATTTTTCGTCGTTCTTCGACATGTAATGAAAGGATAGTAAAGTGGATTGGGTCTTGACCCAATTTTCTGAATTGCTGTGTTATTAACAAACAATGACAGCTGGTTGTAAGGAATGACATGTTTAGTGTTTATTACGTGTATTGTGCGCATGATTAGTAATATTAAAAACTACTAAAGGGGAGGTGGAGCTGAAAACGTCAAAACATTTTGACTATTTTCTCTGTCACAAATCATATACTATTAGGCGTAAGTGCAGCTCCCTTACAGAATATCCCAAAATCATATAAAATTCAGTCTGGAGTTTAGAATTCTAACGAAAACAAAGAACAGCTACATGGAAAATCACAAGTAATTTATAAGTAAGGATGCGTATGGGTCTTAATTTTCAAGTTAATATTAATGCTGCAATTTATTGACGGAACTTCTGCTTCACGTTATCTCTGTTGAGATGCAGAAAACAATTTCGCAGATAGAGTAACTGCGGGAAGGGTGTCTGTGTTGCGCATAGCATGAGCCATTATTTGGGTGTCACGCGTGTGAGTCGGCATTTGCATGATAACAACAGGTAACAGAGCTTCGATCGCGACACGCATGCCGCTAAATTAAGTTTCCGTTATTCACATCATGTTCCCACCACGCTAGTCTTTTTGTTTGCATTTTACTTTCATTGTCTGTGTACTTTTGTTGATGGCTTGCGATCTGTGTTCAGCACCAACTACCAAGTGTGTAGTCCATGGGTTTGATTTATAAGCGTGAGCAGGGACAGCACTGAATTTAACGCTACTAAGACTGATAGAAGAGGAGGTGAAAAGGGTTCTAACATTCGAATTCCCAGGAGGACACTAAGAATTTTATTCAGTTGTTAGTTTGTTTGGAACAGCAGTATTATTCAGCTGCAACAATACTTCGCGTTTATGGACGTTCACAAGATGTAGATTTTGCAGTTGTATTGACACATGAAGAGATCTTCACACTTGCTTACACTATGGGGTGTGACAATTGTTCTGAAGAATGTAAACTTCAGCAGTTCATTCCCCGTTACTTTTACTGAACGTGATTCCCAAAGTTTCCAAAAATTGATCACAAATTAGGAAAGAACGGCATAAAGTCTGCAGATTGCACGAGAAAATAGTTACAGACTCTTAATTCTTAATGGCTGAATTAAAGATTTTCACTGTCTTTGTATTTTTCTTATGGTCGTATTTGGTCTATTTGGGGGAGATACTCCCTAAAGATTTGTTTGTATGCCGTAAACACTCGTACAGAATACTAAGTAATTAAACTGTTAAATTGTTTAAGACCACTTGGATAACCATGGATCGAGAGCCAAGCAACAGGAGCCGGGATGATTAGCAATCTTTACGGTAGACAGATTTTGAAGAAGTACGAGTAGCTCGTTAAGACTACACTTTTGTGAATAGCCGATACTGATGTGCAAAACAGCTACTTTTCAATGATATTGCAAGTCATGACAAATGTTTGCTGAGGAGTACACGGGAACTAACAACATGTATCGTCTGGACAACATTTGATTTTCTGAAGGCTCTCTGCTTACGAGGAATTTTTAAATATTAATTAATGTTGGAAGATTACTTGTTCAGTTATAGTTTGTGGGGAGTTGAAGATGTGTATTATATTAATTTATATTAATTTTTGTTCCAAATTCAATTCATATGCATATATTTCATATTTCAGGAATTTTTCGGAAAATTGATTCTATCCTCTTGAATTCTGAAATAGCTTCATGATTTTACAGAATAATTTTATAACTTAGGGTAAGTTTGTCCCTGTGCTTACCTAATTAAGCACTACGCCATGAAGGTGTAAGGGGAAGTGGATGTATAGATCCACATTTTCTTAACCTCGGCACTAGCTGGAGGTAAGTGGGCAGCTTCACGTTCTGACCGCTTTACCCCTTAGGAGAAAGCCTTCTGTATCCGTTTGACAGGAGGCTGGGTGATCCCAAGATCCGAAATGGACGACGCGGGGAAGAGAAAAATTCTTGCCTCTACCGGGACTCAGACCACGCTGACGTCCAGCCCGCATCCCGTTACTATACCGACTACGCTATCCCGGTTCATAGATTAATGGCATACACAATTTAATATTTTCACATAAATTTAACTTCCGTCTAGAAATTATGATACTGAATATTTCAATTTAAGTCTTTTTAAGCAAATTAGAAGATATAGATATGCCAATTGTAAAGCTTATACTCTGGCCTACGGGTATCAAAATTGCCATTAATCTGCCCCATTAACGTACATCGTTACCGGTATTGTACCTGTAATTAGTGAGTGTACTTCTTCAAACTTAATTGTTAATTGGAGCAAACGTGCATATAAAATCTGATTGTAGGATGATAAATTACTTAAATATATTCTAAATATTTGTACAATTACAGATATTTTAAATACATATTTTATTCCTATTAGTTTAGTAGGAAATTTTGGACAAATTCCGGTCTCACACACCCCCATTCTTTCCGAATACTACAGTAGGAATTGAATATAGTTTCAAGTTCATATTTGTCTATACAATAAAGTAAATGGACTCCTAACAAACAATATGTCCAAGGGAACACACAAGGGCAATGAAAATTAACATGTTAAAACATCCATCAATTTTGCATTGAGCATGGTGTATGAAGATAAATAGTAATGTTTCGAATAAATACTATTGATTGTCCCTTAATTTCATAAGACATTCTTAAATCTGCACTGAAACTTAGGCGTGCATGTTTAAAATAATTATATGTAAGGGAGCTGGCGCCAATTTAGCCTAAAATATCAATTATATCCCGCAAATTATATTATATCAAATTGAAATGTGTTATAGACGACATAGAAAATACAAGAAGACAATAACAAAATGGAAAGTATTTGATAAGTATTTTATTAAAATAATATTAAACATATTCCTGATAGAGAAATGCAAAAAGTATCAACTGAGTAAAACAGTTAAAAGCGACATTCTTGATATTCAGCTGTTACTAAGCTCTTCTCGGTATTTCATCCTTTCATAATTCCTTGAATACTCTCGTGAAAATCTCGTATAGGTGGTATAAGAAACATGGAGCTCTATGTCACGTGTTCAGTTTCGTATACTGTAAGACACAGAACTCGTTCACTGCTTCACTCACATATTATGCCCATGTTGTCGTTACGTTACAGCCAAAGAAAAAGTGGTATCACATTAAGCTGCGCGTATTCTCAAGTTCACGTTCTGTTACAACTAAGCTCTTTCCTCATTATGCAAGAAGGCTATATAACTTATAATTGAAGCCATGTATCTTTGAAATTTCCCAGTGATACTTCACGGTTTTCATCCTTGGTCACATATATTCAAATTTCAAAATTATGAAATAATTGAAAATTGCGAAAATTTTGTGGCAGAATATGGTGATAAGAAAAAAAGTACCATTTTAACTAAATCTGAACTATGTATCAAACAAATCTAGTATTTTCACTGCGTTATAAAAAGAAATGTCGCTTTAGCTATATCTGAATTATGCATGAGTAGATATTATATTATAATATTAATGTAAAAACAGATATCACTTTAAATGGATCTGAATTAGGTCTGAACCAGATATTTTCTTGAAGAATGCCGTCTTCTGGGATGTGGAGCAGTGCACATCTTGTGCGAACCAACTTTTCGGAGGAACATATCGCCTGCATCTTCAGGGTAGAAAAATCCGCTAGCGAGGAATCAATTTGAGTACGTGGCTGCAGCTGTATAATTTTGTGTTTCCGACTGATGACTCGGTCTGCAGCTATATATCTGGGTGTTTCCGACTTATGACTCAGTCTGCAGCCACCTGCTGACGCTGGTTCCTCGCTCGAGGACTTTCTACTCTGAATATGGAGGCGATACTTTCCTCCGAAACGTCGGTTCACATAAGATCTACAAGGCGCCACATCACAGAAGAAGCCAGTTTTCATAGTCTCCACCGTGAAATCATCAAATCTAACAGATATTTTCTTATAATTCTACTAAAATTTGTACCATTTTTATATGTTGAAAGTGTAAGAGAAAATTGTCAATATGCAGTTTACGTAAGCTCGATTCTTCCTCAAAAGTTGTGGAAATGTAAAGATGCCCCCACCCCAAATTGCAGTTAGTTGTTCATAATTGTGATGGTGATACCAAACTTAAGGAAACATAAGTAAGTCATCAGTTTAGTTGTTTATATATACACAATAAAATGCTATATACTGCAAAACAAACGTACGTAGTCATACCCATTCCTACATGAGTGTCATTCAGATGTAGTATTCATTTTGTACAGTCATTGATGCCAAATTGACGTTTATATTTGTTTACAACGTCCATGAATCCTGTATGTAATGTATACAGTGTTGATTGTAACCAGCCTAGGTAACTCCCACACTTGAGGTACGTCTATCTTAACTTTATTTTTTACGGCTGGAGGGACTTTGGAACTTGTGCTCTTATGAGAAAGCGCTGTAGTTACTATTAAACCCTCCTGATTGTGGAACAGCTTTAAAGAGTGTGGAAAATTATCTAGGTAATATTCTCAGTGTTCCATGACCAGGAAATAAATTACCTCTCCCATTAGCACTGATATAATTTATTTTGTGAGCCAACATTGCAATTTCCTTGTCCCTAATTCAAAATGAAGCCTTTTAAAACTTGTTTATTTCTTTAATTTAGTGATGTAGTGATGTTTAGTATGGGCAGTGAGTTTTCGAGGCAGAACTTGTGCTTCAGGGGTGCGCCGACTTGTCTAGAGGAATATTTAAGTACGAACTCACAGAAGACTCATTGTGCCTGTACATGCTATTATTTGCTTATACAGTGTGTTTCCTTCTTCATTTCTAGAAGAAAATAAAAAAAATACTTTTATATTTAAAGAATCATACTCATGTACTGAAGATCTTGAGCTTGTTTGCGCAGGATAATTAATGCGTTTTCATGGCATCGGACTATGTTTCATTTCGGTTTTATCTCAACAGCCACCTGTCGGTGTATATGTGACTCTGAAACTGTACACACTAGTGTCCTCTGTTATCACTCAGTTACTCAAAATAATTAGATTGTTTGTTTCTGAATCTAAATGAAACAGAAAACAAATTTTATATCTACGTGGTACTTCACTAATCCCTAAGATCAAAGTGGGGCCAAGATATTCTATGTAATCCACTGGCGCTTAAAATGTAATATATTTTTTATTCCATGCACAAACAAATTAAGGCAAAATTTCAGTTTCTGTTCATACTGAACTAAATGAAATAATACACTTCGGCATTACAGCATTGGCCAAAGCGGGATTAAGGTATTTGAGGACGATGCTAAATAACAGATACCAAGTTGCTAAGAGCCGTTTCGGAGTGAATGTGTAGAGATAAGAGGAGGTTATATGTTCATTAATGATATATGATATTGTTGGCTCAAATGCGCGAATATGTGTACTATATGTACATACATCAACAGAGTCCGTAATGAACGCAGGAGCCACTGAGAGGAGGAGGAAGTAAACATTTTTCTTTTATACTTCGAGAGTTCTAATTGAATGATCACAAAGTAATTTCTTACGATTATTTTTTCCTCCTTGGCACTACAGCCCCAGTGGATCTAGACCTACCTCCATGAACTTCTCCGTTCACTTCGATTTTTCTAGATCATACACATTCGGTAGGATTCCTTGGGCGGGTGATCAGCTCGTCGCTAGGCATCTACCTGTACACAAACACAGAAAAACCCACACACACAAACTAAACATCCATACCCTAAGTGGGATTCGAACCCACGATCCAGGTTTCCAAGCGAGCTAAGACAGAACATGCCTTAGACCGCTCGGCTACCGTGACCGGCCTTATGATTATTACTCGTTTGAACATCATGACTGCGAAAAATACTAAATTTTACAGTAAATATATCATGAAATTGACGAACAATTCTGATAAAGAATTCTGTTTTTAGAATCTGTTTGGTGGGGGAGCTACGTAACTTCCTCGTTTATGTCCCTCCTATGCTACTTAAGCTTTTCTTAAAAAATAAAATCCTTTCTCCCAGAAGTATCTAAGAATGAGGAATTGACACATTCTTGACAAGATGAGTACATGGTAGCGTTTTGTGGGATATACACATATATATATATACATTAATTTTAAAGTTAGATTATTTGGTTCGCTTTCTTCATGACCAATATACATGAAGCTGGTGTTCAAAGTTGTCACTTCCAACGTGATTAACATAATTCGAACTCTAAAGTAATTGTAAGTGTCTTTATGTGTCTGATGCTTTCGATTTTGCTACCTTGAATTATTTCGTTAAACGCATGACTGGACTGCATTTGAATGGCCCGTCTTATTAGTGAATCTTATGATAGCCATTAGGCGCGATAGACCACTGTGGTCGCGGTGCAAGTATCAAGAAAGCCCACCCCTTATACATTCGTTCATGATAACCATTGAACGAAATTTTATTCTTAAGAATTAGAAGGTGTTCCTTACTTCAGGGTTTACGTATATTAATGCACAATACAGTACGCCTACATACAATTTAGAAGATGAAACCTGTATATACCGACACATTTCTTTATGTTAGCACAGTGTTTCAAGCGGACGGCTTTGTACGGCAGCAGAACAATACATAAGACGGACCTGCTGCTGGCATGTGAAGCATATGGCTGGGTCTCCGACCTCTTCATGTAAATCAATTTACCAACGAAGGGAGACAAAACACTCGTTTCGTGCATAGCAGCAAGGCAGGAGTGGTCCCGCTGAGTACAATTATGTTTACAGGCTGCATGCACTTACCACTCCTTAATTTCATCGGTTATGACACGTGTAACTACAGCCAAGAATTCTAGCGGTACATGCTTGTTAAACTGTTTTCGTCGTGAGTAAGAGAAAGTTCCAAGGCCTTGTATGTGTTACATAACCTAAGCAGGTACTCACTTCTTTTCAGTTGGCATTAGTTTTACCTTCGTCTATCGATGTCACTA